GGATGCACATTGCTTCAGAAGTACAAAAATACTAATAACTGGGGACTCAGCTACAGAAGGGTGACTTAAGTTTTGAAGGAGTGTTCACAAGTGTAGTATGTACTCCTAAAAAGTTCCATCAACAAAATGCTTGTCTGCGGTTTTTAGTAGTCTTGTATGTTATGATTATCCTGCCATGCGAGTTCTTCGAAATATATGAATGATAGTATTATTTTAATGTCAAGCCATAGTAACAGAGTAATTAATCCAATGAAGATTATATTCAGACAAAATTCCTGGTCAAACAGTTCACACCAATGTATTTATCTGTGCATCTTTTTCTTTTTTGCAAGACACTGAACTATTGCAAAAATTAAGATGGAAAGGTAGATCTTTTTCAAAATTTGCAATAGTGGAAGGGGGATCATTTGTTTCGGATTTTAGAAAATATCCATATGCACCCCGTGGAAGGTCTCTGGAAATTCCAAATTGTGTGGGAGAGAGGGTCCTAAAAGCCAAAAATTGCAAAGAAAAGTATAATGCTAAACTGGAATTTCTGAAGGGTTGGATGATTCAAACACCTTGCATCTTACATGAGGGGGGGGGAGGGTATGGATTTACTGAAATATTTTTTTAAAAAGTTGAAAACTGAAAAAAGGTTGAGGAAAGAAGAAATTACAAGGAATACAGCATTACCCTTTTCAACCCAGTTAAAAAACAACAAAAACAATAAGTTGCATTTAGCTCCATAAATTAGGCATCTTTTATTTACTATGAGCTAAGGGGGATGCTAAAGGGAGTGGTATTCAACTGCAAAGCTGGATTCTGTCAATCAACTAAGTATTCAGCCAATCACAGAGAGTTAGCTTATTATGGACTATCTATTATTTTAAAATTTAGCCAACTCCTTGAATCGGTGGTTGAGGAGAATTCAAAATTTGATCAACTTTTATGAACACTTGAATTTTTTATTTTGTTCTGTTTATTTGTTCAAGTAAAATACATGTTACCCAAATCTAAAACTTCATTTCAGTTACTAAAGTTTTGTGGTGAGTTTTGTACACTTTGCCGGTTACCATGTGAAAAAGCAGGATTTTTCAGCAAGGAGTTCTGCAGGATCTCAGTGAAAAGGAAACTCTTTTGTCACGTGATGATTCGTAAGGAGAAAACAGAAACACTCATTCCTAATAAATGCGTTTATTCCAAAACGGTAAATTATCTGTTTAAGAATGAGGGTCCTTAAGATACCCAGTACATATATTGTTTTTGACTGCAAGAAATTGTTTCATTTTGTGCAACATTACGCGAGAAAACTTAAACGACACAACGGTGTTTTGATCAATCTTTCAGTTTCTCCCTAGTTAACACAAGTTCAGGTTGGCGACCGGCCGCCGACAAAGGCAGCTGCGCAAGTCGCAGTCGCCATCTTTCGGAAACGAAGAATTTTTCCACATTTCTCTCTGTAATTTATTTCCTATTTCACCGGCTTTCTAAGCTCCATTTCTGCCCATATGTGACGACTAAAAATGTCCTCGACCAACAGTAGAAAGAAAGAATTACAATCCTCAACGGAAGGCTCAAACGGTAGGTAGCGTAATTTCCGTGATTTCCATGTGTCTTTATGATAATCTTACTATTTCGGGTGAATTTGACATTTGTTGCGTTTGCGTCTGGAACTGAATGTAAAAGCATTTAGATGAGCAAGATTTTTGCTTCTTCTAAAATTTTGATGTGAAATACTTCGTTTGTGAGTAAGAAAATGTTATGTTTTCAAGCGTGATGTTTGTGTTTTGAGAATTGGCGCGTTCATCGCATTTACAGTCGAGTGTATGGCATATGCTTTGTTAGGGGATGCCCTCTTGTTTTATACTTCTTCATGTATTATTACGATGGCAGCTTCCCCAAAAGGTCAATCTGTTAAGAACAAAAGGATTTTAGCTGCATTTTCCCTTCTGGAGGGAGTTTTCCTCGCTTTAACCTCGTGAATTTAAAAGTTCGCGCTGTCCGAGATGTGAAGTCGCTCCGGTCTCGCCGAGCTTTAGAACCGTGTGGGATTTGGGCAAGAATCGGAAAATATTCACTGCGCAAAAATGTTGGATTTCCATTCAATAACTCGTAACTAATCGTGTCTGGTAGAGGTCAACAAACGCAAATTGCCACAGTCAAGAATAGGGAATTTTTATTCTGCATTTTAAGACACTCAACATAGTTTTTTAAATTAAACCGCTTGCCGGCTTCTCCGTTCTCTTGTCGTCATATCGAGACGGCAAATCTTAGGTAAAATTGGTTAAAATGCTATGTGGTTTATGTTGTTTAGGGAGGCGATTAGTATATGGTAATGAATTTATATGTACAGTTGAAGGATCGCTCCCCTTCTAGCAGGGAAAGGATCGCAGGCTCTCTGTAAGGCATTTCTTGCGGGCAATATTGTTTCAGATTCTTAACGTTTGTGTCCCTGCATGAGTAGAGGAGAAGGGGTGACTTTTAGCTTCTTGCACATAATTTAATTTCCAGTTAAACTCGGTAAAGTAAACTAAAAATATCCAGCAGTGGCCAAATTTGAGGAATTTGTTGGAATGAGGAATCATAGAGCATTTTTGCATCTCCCACGTATCTGTCTCTTGAGACCAGTTTGTGGCTCATTTTTGGAAAGAAAAAAACTGCTTGCTTCATCTCAAATTCTGCCATGAAAATAAATGGTCAGAAATTTCCTGATTGCTTGAGTTTGAGATTCGTATCAATTTTGAAAGGTGAATACTAGATATGTGTTATTTTCCAGCAGGGAGGTCTGTATTGGGAAAACTGTGCCCTACAAAGCTATTGGAAACAGTAGCACAACTTATCAGTCGATCTCACCAAAGCACCCCTGCAGCCAAAAGTACGAAGGCCAATTAGAAAAGTAGATTAAAACAAAATTATTTACAGTAGGGTAATGCAAAAATCCTGGAAGGGCATGGTGTGCTGCGAAATTCATAAAGACCACAAAGGTGTCAAGAAAAAACTTTTAATTATTTTAACTTTTGAGGGTGGATAATTAAAATTGTAAGAAACAAAATCATGAATATTGTGCTTCAAGGACAGATTTATTTTCAATTGACTTATTTGTGTGACCTTTTGAAGATATTATCTTCAAAACCTGTTCAAGCATATAGCAGCTAATCGAAGCAGACCTCTCCATTTTGTAAGCAATGTATCCACCACTTCTTCATAGCTCTCCTTTGCTTTACTTGTTATTGTATGACCAGCAAAGCACAAGATTATGCACTATTACAGAGCCGAACTGCTAACAACCAAACAAACTCTCCCAACTTTGAAACACTCATTTGAATTTACATGCATCAACCTTTTTTGCCATTGTGTTGTTCCAGAAAGTACCCCCTCCCCCTCCCCAATGGAGATATTTTTCCTGTCTGAATCTTTAAAGGTGAATAGAGATAAACTCGCTAAGGTCAATCATTGATGGAAGTGTAAAAAAATGTAAAGGATCAATGAGTTACGAAAATAGATCAACACAGCTATTTCACCTGAAGAATATGCTAATATGTGAGTGTATGCACCACGATATGCTAATCCATAGTATTTACCACAAAGTACATAGGGAAAGGTGTTATTAAAAATGGAAGTAGATCCATGCATGTAACTACTTTTTCAAGTGCAAATGTTACACTAACCATAACGTTATCAAGGCTTGCAGTGACAATTTACTATTATTTGCTATTTGGATTTTCCGTTCATGAGATGTAATATGTGCATGTTGTGAGCAGATGCTGATGGTGAGAGACCTCAAGCTAAGAAAAGAAGGACAGAGGATTCTGGATCAGCAAAGAGCACCCAAAATGGAAAGAAGCGTAAGAGAGAGGATGATAATGAGGTGAGGTATTGATTCACACAGCAACTGAGTGAGTGAAGATTATTTTGGAAAAATTGAATAGTGACGTTTAGGATGCTGCTTTTCTTCTTTTTCTCCTGAAGTTTTATTAAAGGGTACTTTTAAGAAATGGAAAGTTCACGAATGTTAAATGATAACAAGCTAAGCAGAGCATAATATTATCATGTGAACAACGTTTTGCTTTGTGTTCTAGTTCAAACTTAAGATCAGGATACCTCAGTTCTTGTGGGAATTAGAAAATAACAACCTAAGTCCATCACATTTCTTCAGGATATAATCAGGATATAATTTTTTATGTTGTTTTCTTGTTCACTTTAAATTGGACCAGAAACAGTCAGCAGCTGAAGTTATCATTTCTGATAGTACACCTTTAATAAGCATGCATTGGTATTGTTTATGACTGTCAGTTGTCACATCCTGATACTTCACAGGAAGATGCAAATGTCTTGGATGATGAACTGACTGTAAAGAAGTCAAATGCAGCCTCAGATAAAGACTCTCTTTCTGGGGACACAAATGTAAATGCTGATGAAAACAAGGAAGTAAGTGCATCTTATTTATAATCCCACCTAAAACCCCTTAGGAAGATGAATAACCATAATAACCACTTAATAGATATAAAGATTTTTGTCAAGATGCTCAATTTTGAGGTCTCGGGACAGAAGGAATTTCATTCAAATAATGGTTTGAATACAAGAGTAATAAAGAACAAGGTTTTTTTCATTACAGAGTAGGGAATAGTGGACATATGTGTATGTTTAAATAGCTTGTAGACCTAATACTACAGTCAGTTTGGGAGAATATAAAAGTACATGTACTTATTTCTGTCAATATGACATCTTTTTCAGGATGAACAGTCAAAAGCCGAAGCAGTTGCAAAGCATTTTGGTCTTAACAATGTTGAAGTGAATCTTTCGGAAGAGAATGAACAAGGAATGACCTATTTGAAGTTCAACAAACTGATACGACCCCTGATTGTTGAAGCCAATCCTGGAACAGCACATACCAAGGTCAACTCGCTTCTTGGAGCAATTTGGAGTGACTACAAGAGGAAGAAAGGCAAAGACACCAGCTCTTCAAATACACCAAGTCCTAAAGCAGCCGGAAAAGCTAAGAAGCAGAAAAACACATCCAAATCTACCAAGGCATCCAAACAATCTGTAAGCATGAATATGGTGCATAGACTCCACGAATAGCAAGTTAAAGTTGATTAATAGCTAACAGGGCTGTCATAAAGGGCCGTTGAGTAACCTGTAACACCTGTTACAGCTGAGTATGCTTGATTTTTCCTTGATGCTGCGGGTGAAATTGCCTGTGGTTGATAGAATTCAACTACAAAGTAACAAGTTTGCTACAGGTGTGGAGAACAAGGCTACAGGGGACTCAAAACTTAATGACAGCCATGGCTAAGTGCCTGATATATTGTAATCTTTGTCTCTGAACATACAGACAGGGTCTGACATACTTGTGAATATATGAATCTATACAGGAGTAACCTTTTGCAAATGTGCCTGTTTTTGATGTGTGAACAGTAATATATAGATTTAGGCCAGCCTAAAAGCGTTGCTCCTGGGCCGGGTTGTTCAAAGCCTGATGAAGATGACCCAGAAAAAGGTAGAATTTTGCTTTGAGTTTTGTAACTTTGCGGTGAGGTTTCTGTATATTGTTTGGCCTTCTGTTTTGAGTTTTAATAATCACCATATACACAAAACAAAACAGCAAAAA